GAATATATTTGACATCAATCACTTTAAATAAATCAGTCGACAGTGATATTTTTTATGATTCCATGACGACGTGAAATTATCGCTGTAAGTTTTTTGGAAAATTATCGAATTACCGTTTATTAATACCTTTTTTGCCCTATGGCGTTGCTATGGATGAGTGAAATAATCAAATAAATCCAGTTTCATAAACACAACATTACTTTTTGTTATGGAATTTTAGTTATACAGGGAGGCTTTCTGAGGTGCGCAAAAAATCACAAATTTCGGATAGTAAAATGTGGATGCTTTTGGGAATAAGGTTTTTTTGGTCAAGTATCTAAATGTGATCCGAAGTTTGTTGCGATGAATAGCGCTCCACACGCAGTAAATCCTACTTTTTATAAATTTAAGACGAAAGTCACTATATTTTACCTTTAAATGTACTCGCTTATTCTACAACCTAACAGGACGGTATCTGCGGTTCTGAGTGTATTGTGTAAAACACGAATATTGATATCAAAAATTGATGGTAAAAAAAAAAGAAAAACTAAATCCAATTTGAACTTTTCGCAATCTGTATCTCCTCAATGGTACTTTTAAGCCCTAGGAACATCTTTCCGCGCCTTTTATCAGTAAATCATTAAAGTATTGATAATGCTTCACTGTAAGCTGAAAACGAGGGTTAAAAAACATTCAATTACACAATGCATAAAATAACAGCGACAAAGACTAATTCGCCATGTTATCGTGAATAAGACATTTAACCCTCGCGAGTATTCCCCATTTCGCGCTCTATACCTGTGCCTGATTTCCGCAAGGAGCCTTAAGTGCGAATCAACGGAGGAAACAAATTGCGAATGGGAAAACTGAGTCGAAAATGAGGCTCCGTTCGGAGGAGCAGTGCGTGCGACATTCAATTTCCCTAACGACTCGCTCGGCACTATCTGTCGCTTACACCGCCATATCTCTTTGCCAGAAAACCTCGTTAGTGTCGTCAGGCTTTCTGTTAACTTTGTTTTGCCGTTTGTACAGGTCGGATGAGTAATAAACGCAAAATTTGACTCGCCTAATGGTGTCGTAAAATATAACGGCTTCGTTGCACAAAGACCTTTCATCAGCGCACTATAGCAAGGCTTACCACTTTGATTTTCCTTTTTTTTTCTTATGACAATGTCATCCAATAGGAAACCAGAGCAAATGGGGCACTCGCTCTTAGAGGAGACGGAAATGTTCATATAAATATCATTAGATATGGGCATTTGGGTGCAGTGAATGAAAGCACATCAACTAGCTTAATTTTTTACAAAAAAAATGTCTTAAAAACAATGGAAAACATTTAGACCTGCCCTCCTAGTCAATAAAACTGTTGCTTTATGCATCTTCCATTTGAAGATTTCAGATTATATCGCAGAATCCTAAAGACAACCTTAAACCTGGCAAGCAGCAAACTTCGTATTGTCGCTTCAGTGCATGCTCCTGATATAAGCAAACGGGAAAGCGAAACAGAAGATTTTTATAACACACCAAAAGGGAAATTCGACCCAATATAGGGTCACATCATAAATTAGTGCTAGGCAAAATTGTAATCAAGATCCCACCAAACAAGAAAAAGACCCTAAATATGCCGAAAAGTTAAAGATAGAGTCTTTAGAGGACCCAAACTACGAAGTGGCTTACAAAGAACGACTAGAAGAAACATTCAAGATAAATCCATTGAAAAAGAGAAAAATGCAAACGAACTCTGGACAAAAATAGAATCGAACATATTACAAGCTGCAAAAAAAAGAATAGGAGATAGGAAAATTAACTTAAATGCAACAAAAGTATCAAAGCCATGGTTTACTAGCGACATACGAGATTTAGCGTGCAAAAAAGAAAAGCATAACTACAATATTGTAGTAATAAGACGCCTAACAGTTACGAACAATACTAAGAGAAAAGAAACCACGTAAACTCTAAGATGAAACCTGAAAATTGGACACGGTTTACCAAAGAGATGGAGCGCAGCGCAGTGTGGAAAATGCTTAAAGGCAGAAAAGATCCTATTAGTGAATATAGCAACTTCAATAAAATGCAAGAAGCAGAACAATGGACAGCTTACATCAAAGAACTCCACAATGAAGGTATGAACAAACATGCAGTAGACGGGCAAGGAGAGGGCGACAACGAACAAATCATAGAAATTACAAGCGAATAATTCAGAAATACCACAGAAAAATAAAAAACAGAAAAGTCCCTGGAAAAAATCCAGGAATTCAATATCAGTTTGTTCATGCTGAAGAGGACCAAAGATTATTTACAAAACACACGTATTAAGTATAAAGTATTTTTATTATTATACTATTAAAGTATAAAGACCAGGGTCAATTAACTATGAATTCAAAGCTTCAAACAGACAAAGATCATAGCAGTAAAGCGAAGTTCAACTAGACGGGTATTTATAATGAAAATACGTGTGTTTTATGAACGAAGAACTTCCTGGGCGGGCATTTAAACGAATTCAGTAGTGTATAATAAAGAGAAAAGAACAAGCTTTGGCAATAGAACAATTCGCCAAGTACCTTTGCCACTATGCTCTAAGCGCATCTCATTAAAAGCCGTTTGTTCCGAGTGGCGCTGAGGACATTTGACAAACGGCACAATTGCCTTCGTAAAGCTGAGAGCCAACCCGTTAGTGTTGCTCGTTCGAGCATCCCAGTCATGTTTAAGCGAAATTAAGCTAATGCCGATAGTGGCTTTTGATTGTTTCAAAATAATTATTAGACTCGGTCGAGTCGGGAGAGAATTTCCGGCCGGAAGATAATTAGACGAATTGAGAGCGACATGGCACACATTTGGAATTATTCGTATTGCAGCCGCTTCTTGAGCGAGAAGCAATTGAATATTTGAAGAAAACCTATGAGTTGATAAACTTGCAGATTGTCATTTTGAAAAATTCATTTTCAAATCAGTATGGTAAACATTTCAAATTTCATATTTCAAAACAGCAAAATCTCATTTTGCTGTTTCCATACCGTTTAGCAGCAATCGATGCCGAGATAAAAGTCTGTTTCTTCGATTCACACATCGTCAAATCATGCGAAACTAATCCAACAAACCGTTATAAAAATACATAAATTAAACATTTATCATATACGATGTTAACCTAGGAAGGAAAGTGATAAACGTAAATCAATGGAATTATCTTGGCAATTCCTTAGGAGTGGTCGCCGATAGCCATGGACTACTGATCTATATGAAGAAAGAAGCTGCACATCGGGAGCTTGCCAATTTAGTTTTAAACGGAAATAAAGTTGAATAAAATATAATTTGTAGGTACATAAGAGTGTTAAATGACACATAGGAAAAGTGACAAAGTAAATAGAAAATTACTTAAGCAATTTCATTAATTTATTGTGCGGCCAATAAAAAATATCCGATAGATAGCAAGGAACAAGCCCAAAGAAATCACGCTGATAGCATGACTTAACAACAGTCCGCTCTTGCATTAGTCGCAGTAGCCATATGCATAATTCTCGTATACTCATTTTTTCCATGGGTTGTTTATTGGAATATTTATCAGGTTATCGTATTTGAAGGTTGATATACCTACGCCCATATGATAATATTGCATAGCTAAGCGCATTTTATGCGTTTTGTTAAACTACCGGTGTTTTAATATAAATAATAAAAAAAACGCCCTGAAGAGAGCATCAATCATTAATAAATAAGGAATAAAGTAAGCGCACAATTTTTACTTCGGACAAACGGAACGAATGAAAATGAATATGTGCCTTATTTTAAATGAGATTTTGGAATCTAAACTTGATGACCGCTTGCTGCCGTGATTGAAGACAAAAGCAATAAATGGCCAAAATAAAATCAACATATTTTGGAGTCAATGCAAAAAATTATATTTAAATAAGTCCACGGATCAAGAAAATTATGAAAATCCGCGCTAGAAAAGAACCCGAAATGTGACATAAATTAAGCATAACAAACGCATCTGAAAAGATGCATGCGTCCGTGCGTAATAATATTTAAAATAATATTTTAATCGTTCCGTTCGTCCGAGATGAATAAATGCCCGTTTATCTTTTTTTCAGCTGATATAAGGTGAGCGCGAATTCGTTCGCATCAGACAAACAAAAACGAAAAAAAATAAATTTTGCCTTATTTTAAACGAGAAAACGCACATACTATAAGTATGTTATAGGAATTAATAAACGAAAAATTTTGAATCAAAAACCAGGTTTTTCCTTCAAAGATGTCTTCGGACGATTTGCAAGACAAATTTACATCGTTCAGATTTCTTATGGAAAAAAGTACGTGTTGAAACCATTTTTGTTTGTTCTAACGCAACTAACAATGTTAAATCTGAAAAACTTTGGAAAAAAAATCGGCGCTCCAATACATAAACTTTATGAGCTCAGGCTGCTCTAAATGCAGACTAAAAAGAAATATTAAACAGGAAGAACAGAAAACGTTATAAAAGTAGCCTTTAAGTGTCAGATTCATTAAAGTTAAATTAGCTTGGCATAACATAACTTATTTTGACTTTATATCGAACACCCTGTTTAAATTTTGACTTAAATTTACGTTCCAAAGCCGAACATCGAGCTCCTAACAGCAACAAAAACGCATTTCATCCTTCGTATAGTAAGTTAAAAAAAAAGAACTATTTCCCGTTAAACTGCGTGCATTGTCGCCGACATCTAGGCGATTTACCCACATTTGCAAACCTTGCGTAAGACACCTATACCAAGGAAGACGAAGGTCACAAAGAACTAAAGCAGTATATAAATCAGGGTGGTTACTGATAATAGCACATTGTTCAGCACAATTAGCAGGTTACGAACAGCAACATGCAAGCCGTGGTAAGTACCTACCTCCTCAAAATAACGTTTTTTCCGTTCGACTATTCTCATTTTTCAACTTGATATTGTAAGTGTTTTTGAAAGTTTCAATTTGTTCCTTAATAAAAATATTTTTGTTCTAATTTGCAGATTTTAGTAGCCCTTTGCGCCTTTACCGCAACCCTGGCAAGTCCCAGTGGTTTGGGTTTGGGTTTGGGACTGGGGCTAGGAGGAACCGTGTTGAGCACGGGAGGTATTGCTGTACCTGGAATTGCCACTGGAGCCGTACTTTCTCCCGCAATCTCCACTGGAGCTGTGATTTCTCCCGGAATTGCCACTGGAGCCATCGTTGGCGGGGCTAAAACCACTGGTAAGCAACTTTAGCAACAAAGTTGCCTCTTACTTAAGTCCAACCAATCCCCTTATGGTTCATTGGGAACCAATCATCTCTCACTTCTCATTCAAAGCTCTTCATTGAACATGCTTCCTTTTTTGATGTTCCTTCAACAATTTGCTTTGCTTGTCTGTTTTCTGCTTTTTATGATACAACCCATTTTTGCTGTGTGCTTTGCCCGACTTCCAGTGACTTTGACATAGAAAAACCTCCACATTCACATCAATCACACAATGTGTCTTCTCATAGAGTTAGCTAAGAGCCTTTTGCAAGGTTGACCGCCGTAAAACATTCAAAGAAGCTTATCTATGTGGAATTTGTCCCCAGGTGCCATTGTTGCTGGACCCACTTCTGCTGGATCAATTTCCGTAGGCCCCTCTAGCTCTGGAGGCATCGTAGCTGGACCTGCTGTACCTGGAGTGGTATCCGCTGGTGCCGTTCTTGGACTTGGTGCTCCCGCTTTAGTGGCTCCTGCTCTTGGTGCTGGTAAGACATTTCTTCTGCGATGTTTCCAGCATTTGCTCTAATTGCCGCTCTCCTTAGGTGTTATCACCAATGGAGGTGGAGCTATTGGAGTGAGCGCTCACGGTGCTGTCGTCAGCGGACCCCCAACTGCCCCCGCTGCTATTATTGGGCCCTCCGGTGCTATTAAAGCTAGCGGTCTGTGGGGACCAACCCTTGTTGGAGGCCCTGCTGCCCTTGGACTGGGATTAATTAAATAATTTAATGTAAACCATACGAAACACCTCTCTTGACTGTAGGCGGATTTAGGTAATTTGACTTTCTTCCCCTGTAGTGCAAACAATTCTTCTTCTATACCAAGCTGGCATGATCGTTCTCAGCGCTGTACTGTCCAATCCGTCTACTTTAACGATAGAGTGTTTCTGGGATTCACATTTTTTATTTCACTACGCACTGCCTCGTCGTTTTTTGTGTTATATACTTATAGCTGTGTTTATATAAAGTGTTCAATAAAGAAGTACATGCTCAGATATATTTTCATTGAATATGGATTCACCCACTAACTAGTGTCTGCTTGCCTTCATTCGGAAATGAAGCCGCTGAAACTTCGAATCTTTTAAGCCTTGCTAATTTTTTTGTTTGCTGTTTTGACCATCAGACTCGTTTTTTCCTATCATCTACTTTACGTTTCCTCTCTAAATCCACTTTTAGTCGGGCATTTGTGTTCGTAGGAGTGTTGTGTTTCGTTCGGCACGAATTTATTTCTGATGCTTCAAATAAAAAATCACGAAAGTTGATTTGACAAGAATTTTTCTGTTTAATTATTTATTTTTGTCAGAAATTCTTCACAGTCAGAAAAACTGATCAATATTGGCTGTTAAAAAATCCGCTAAATGGGAGAGCAATTTCAGCATTTCCTGATGTTAAGGAAGTTCAGTGCATTTAATATAATTATACTTAGTGTCAAAATTAATTAAAAAACGTTAGTTCTTAAAGCGCCAGATCCTGACGACTGTTCCACTATGAGAGCATGTTAAGGTACGAGGTTCGGTTCAACCGTATTTGAGATACCTATAAATTGAAATGTTGAAGCATTTTGTACAATTTGCATATATCTTTTTAAATGCGAATTTCAATTTAAAGCAGTTAATTTGGTGAATTGTGCAAGGGATCTTATGTAAAGTATGAGTACTATGAATCATAACACTTCTAAAAAAACACGTCCATTTTCACAAACAAATTATTGATATCACAGTACAAAATTGGCATTTGTAAATTCAAGAAAGGGAACATTTGGGATTAAATTCTACCGGATTAAGATACAATTTGAACACTCCCCACACTCAATAATACATTCAGTTTCACTCAGATGCTGCTGTTCAATAACAAAGTCATTTCCACACCTACATTGACGAAAAGCCTGCCCATCGTCATCTAAGCAGATATCAACTTTCCAAAACTCCGCATATATCAGGGAGTGTTCGTTGAAACTATCAGCCAGCAGGGAAGAATCGTAGTCTTTGCGAGACTTGTAATCTTTAAGAACCTTATAGGCCTTGTCGATTTGCACAAACTTATCCGGCGTGTGGCCCCCTTTGTCCGGATGGTGTTTTTTCACTAGCCGATGATAGTTTTGCTTAATTTCGTCCAAAGTAGCAGTGGGGCTGCACTCGAGCACCACATAGAAATTTTCCATCTGAACACCGAACTGTTTAATAAAACGATTCCAAGCAGCACACTAATCCGGAAAATTAACGCAAGTATTGAAGACAACTAATCAGTTTCGAAAAAATGCAGATTTAAGGACAATATTTTGAGAAACACATTTGAGGTTATGTTTACCAGCAATTGCAGCGCTGCTGCGAATAAACAAAAAACTCTCCTAACTCATAGTAGTGATGTTGCCAGACATTTTTCCGTTTTTCGCCGCTTCGGTTTCAATGTTAAATGTTCATATTTTCCAGTTTTTTTAGAAAAAATCAGTTTTAACGTACCGTAAAAGCTGACAGGGACGCCAAACACTTTTCAAACTTCAAAAAAACTTAACTGCGGTTGGTTTCCATGGCAATTATGGCCGGCCGGCAAAAGTGTTCAAATGTTTTATAATTTCAAGAAGCCAGTGCTTCAAAACACTTTGAGCTGGGTTTAAACTGTTTTGCAAAAACCGTGGGACTGATTTAATCAACCTTTCAGTGTTTTACCTGTAAACTAACTTTCATCGAGTTCAACCAAATATTTAGAGGGAGTATTATGTGGCACAGTTTCCATTTCAATGTACATTCCTTTAATGTTGTTTTTATATACAAATCAGAAGAACAAAAAAAAAACCTTTAAAACTCGAAAAAAAAGTCTTGTTCAACTTACCCGCTCCCATCATGGCAACTCACTCCAGATTGTCAAATCGTGACTAGCTAAGTAGGGTCCAACGAAAATCCAGCGCTAGACACGACATTAATAATCAGAAAAACATGTTAACAGCACTTTTATGAAAATTTAGGCAGATTTATGGAAATAACCATGAAAAAGTCGTCTGCCACTTGCATGAAAAACCCTTTCTTTATTTTTAACTCAGTGCAAACTGGTAAAATTAGGTTAGAATGAACGCGAGCCACTTCATTGGTAAACTCGTTGCATCCAATTGGTAACAGCTGTCAAATATGCAATAATGGGGCTGGATTGTTTATTATTTGTGTTAAATGGCCCATTTTTAACTTAAACGTGATGGATTAGTCACTATAATATGGTAAGCAACCACCTTTCGATTGATATTACCGCTGGATGGGAACAGTAACGTTGTACCTGCATTGTTTCACTTCAAACCATCACCATCAACTTGAGTGTGCAAACATTATTGGAATATCTATTTACTTAGATTTTTAGATAGTTCCTGGACTTAACGCCCAAACTATATAGAAGCACCTAATATGCCTGGGTGGGTTCCATGGGGCTGAGTAAATCACCTAATTGTTTACACAATTTTATTGGCACTTAATTGAGTTATGTCAGCCTGTGGATTCTAAGCCACAAATTGCCACTCTGTAGCCCCAAAAGCTTTTCACACCAGCCTAGTGTCTGGTTTCCACATATTTTAATCGTTTGACTTTTAACTTAAAGCCTCTGCTCAAAACGCAGCCTTACTAATATGAAACTCGCTCATTTCCAGGGTACCAATATTTCCCAACTGGAGAGAGATATTGGGTCGGAGCAGTTTCCTTGCAATGAACACTACTTCGGTTTAGTGAACGTAAGTTCGGCCACATATTCCAAACAGTTACACTCACCGCTTACCGTTTTTTAGTTTGGGAACACTTGCTATAGCAACTCAGTGCTTCAGGCCTTGTATTTCTGTAAGCCCTTCAGGGACAAGGTGCTGGAGTATAAGGCCAAGAACAAGAGGACTAAAGAGACGTTGCTCACATGTTTGGCCGATCTGTTTCACAATATCGCCACTCAGAAGAAGAAAGTCGGATCTATTGCCCCAAAAAAGTTCATTGCCAGGCTGAGGAAGGAGAAAGGTACCTACAATAGTCCATTAAAACTGGCGCTTTGTTATGCAGGTTGTTGTTCGGTTTCAGAGGAATTCGATAACTACATGCAGCAAGATGCCCATGAATTTCTTAACTTCTTAATCAACCACATTAGTGAAATTATTTTGGGTAAGTAGCTTATACATTTTAACTTTACATTTAGCAGAACATTTTAAGGCAATAAGGATGCTCAAGCTCAAGCTCAATTTATTTGTTTGATATACACACGTTCAGATTTTTTTGCAATTTCCTCGTCACTGAGGTAAACTGCCAGCTGAAAGCTCACTTTCAAAGGCTTCCTATACAAAAAAGTACTGGTAGTCAAAAACCTCTAAAGGCTATAAAAGGAGCACAAATACATTTTTTTGTGTTTCAGCTGAAAGGCAACAGAACAGTACCAATAACTCTTCAGCCACAACTAATAATGTTATTAAGAATAAGGGGGCTGGAGAAAATGGTACAACCACCTTACCGCAAAACCATCCGGAACCCACATGGGTGCAGGAAATTTTTCAGGTATGAATCATTCCTGGCAAATAACTATAATAAGTAGTAGGTAGTTAATTTAATCTACCAGATTTTCGCGTATTTACTGTGTTAATGCTACTTGCTGTTTTTCAGGGAATTCTTACGAGTGAAACAAAGTGCCTGAATTGCGAGAACATCAGCAGCAAAGACGAGGACTTTTTCGATTTGCAAGTGGACATTGAACAAAACACATCGATCACGCATTGTTTGCGGTGTTTTAGTAATACAGAGACACTGTGTAGTGATAATAAATTTAAGTGTGATAATTGTAGCAGTTATCAGGTAAGTTAAAAAAATGCCCACTGTTTACTGCATTATTCTTATCACTCCTTGCACACTGTTATATGAGGTTTGTATTTAGGAAGCCCAAAAAAGAATGCGGGTGAAGAAACTGCCGACCATCCTAGCCCTACACCTTAAGAGGTTCAAATATGTAGAACAGTACAATAGGCATATAAAAGTTTCCCATCGAGTGGTATTTCCACTTGAACTTAGGCTATTTAATACAGTGAGTATTTCCGAATCCACTCAGTCTATGAAATACGATTTGCAATTGACTTTTTAGTCTGATGATGCAGTCAATCCTGATAGGTTGTATGACCTAGTAGCAGTTGTGATACATTGTGGGAGTGGTCCGAATCGGGGTCACTACATTAGCATAGTCAAAAGCCATGGCTTTTGGTTACTATTTGATGATGATCAAGTCGATGTAAGTGTTTATTTTACTGACTTAACATTATTTAAGGAACAAGGTAAATAAAAGAGTTATTTAAACAAATAAAATGCATTTTTTGCTCTATTGTGAATATTGATATAAAATAACTATAATAAAAAACTTTCTTTGTTGATAAGTCAAAACTTATCAAAACAATATGATGTCTAGTCGAACTACATAAAACATTAACAACTTATAAATCTAAGATAGTAGCTAAATAATAGGATGTACTTTTAGTTACTCTTACACTTACAACTAAAACGATTTGATAGTATAGTGAGAATAAGATCATGTTCCTTTATTTTCCAGAAAATTGAGTCGTCGGCAATCGAGGACTTCTACGGTCTCGCAGCCGATACGCAGAAATCGTCGGAAACTGGCTATATTCTATTCTATCAAAGTCGTGAGAGTTTATGAGTCGCCTTTGATGCCTTAGTAGATGTGCCGTTCTCCAGGTCTTGGGCCTCGGGTAAGGATCCCATGAGGTGGCTTAGGCGATTTCTAACAAAAACCAGTTGAAGTGATTTAAATGGCAAATACAACAATGTATTCAGAGTGTGTGGGCATTGCCCAAATGTTACTAAAACTACCATCTTAATTTTGAATTGAAGAAATTGGTTTTTGTTTGATACGCGTTTACACTGCGAACATTTCCGTGAAGTCTGAAGTTTAATATTTAGCGGAAGTGTAACTAGAGTATTTATCTATAAAAAAACAGCAGTTTGGAAACCAATCGGCATCTTGTAGTTTTTACTCAAAAAATATTGGCTAAATTCAACCTTTTTGTTAGCTTTCCATATCCTACAATTGAATTCAATTTGAATGACATTCCAATAGATAGTCACTCGACATATTGCCAATAGCTGAAGAAACTATTAGAATTTAATGTAATGTGATTTTAGCAATGTGTTTAAGAAATTCGAAACGTTGATGGGCCACCAACAAACTCTTTAAAATGCAAATACATCTTTTTATACACCATAAAACAATAAGGATTGTAAAAAACGGCTTGTACATATACTTAAATTATACCGAATATGTAAATTGCTACCATTTTGCTGTTGGCGTGTATCTTTTGATCTAAAAGTGTTGAGCGGCACTTAAGGATGATAAAAATTGGCTCTACGCTGTTCAGTTTCTCTATCGAATGTTTAATAATTATCCATAAACTATACATATTCAAAGTCATAATATTAGTAACATTCGCATCTAACTAAAGGACCATGTGAGTGGAAAAAGTAAACATGTCGTACACATTTGCTTCTCTCGGTTCTATGCACATAAATTAATTACTTTTCGTTTACAAGCCAAAGTTTAAGTGGTTTATTGCTTCATCAATTCGTAGTATCGAATTGTTCATTGGTGTATGTTGCATGTATGTGATGAGTGCAATACGAATTAATCTATTTATTTAATGGTTCCTTGGATGTTGGTTTTTACAAGTTGGCAACTATCGCGGACAAAATTAGTATGTTAAGTTGTAACAGTATTAAAGTGTGTCTTAATGTTGAAGTACAATTTGAATTGAAAATTGTTGTAAAAACCCTGACTGGATTGCCTCTACTTAAGTATCCTAATACCAAATTAAGACACATATAACAAAACTGATCTGCGATAAGTCGTTGTAAAAACAATTATCTGAATTATTGCCTTCGAGGCAATTTTGAATGTTTCAAGTCTACTATTTCGACTGTGCCTAATTTAGAACCATCCAAATTGTATATAGGTGCCTATTCTAAATGTGTGTAAAAGTGTTCACTACAACATACTTTGGACTTGTGTTGCTTTTAAAAATAATGAATGTTTTGAATATGGATGTATTAAGAGAATACACGAAAGCACTTTTTTATATATCAACTGATAATTTGCCACAACGTTCCTTCCGTAGTTATGCCGACACGATTAATTCAACTCTATTTTTTTTTAAAACTCTTTGCATTTCCGAAAATTGAAATTTAATAATCAATTGTGGTGTAGTTGTGGACTTTTAGTTTGTTTATATTTCCGGCCAATGAGTTGTGTATGTGCATAGAGTATAAAGTATGTAGCAATAAACAAATAATTTCAATCAAAAGTGTATAAAAATTATATAAAATATATCGAACTAATTTATCTATTTATAAGAAAGTGTTAATTCAGGGTTACACCTTTGTAAAATGTCTCTAAAATGTATGTATATTTGTTCATGTTCATCTAGTTTAGAATTATTACTACGCAAAAGCTGCTTCTTGGCAGATACTGTTTTTATTTTGTAAATAATATAATAAATATTATTATGACTTTTATCAAATGTGCGTACTCGTATCTTATTCAATTTTCACTCGTTTTATTTTCGATGTTGATGTTGAGCAAACTTGAGAAGTCGCCATTGATTACATCAACAATTTTACGTCCAAAGGAATAGTTCTGGAAATACCAAAAATGTTTCCGGTAAAGAACTACATACTGTATTTCATTTTGTTATCCATAAGACAGGGTCAGAACTTTCGTTTGCAGGGGTGCAAGTGCTGTTGTAATCTTTTGTAGGTTCAATGTCCAAGAGAAAGTCTGACAAAACCATTTTTTTGAATAAAATGGGCCTAACAATTCAAGATTAAAATAATATTCCAAAAATAACTTACGCAAGGTATCTGACAAACAATCATCATAATCCTCATCCTCGACAGACTTTATGCTGTGCGCCTCACAGTGATCTGCTTCAATATTTTCGTCATCTAAAACAAAATCGCAATAAATGTATGTGAATTCAGTGTAGTTATGACGGATCTACCATTCGGGGCATTCTCAGCGTCGAGCGATTTCTCATTTTTATCAGTTAGCTCCTCATGGGTTGCACTGTTCTCTTTAATTAATTGTGAATTTTGAATATCAGAATCACATTCAGTGCCGCTAGATGAACTAACACCTAGAGAACTCTGAGCTTCTCTAAGCTCAGCAAGCGTAGCAATTGCGTCTTCGGTGCTGGATTCCAATTTTGAGTCAGTTACCTCGATCTCACTGTCTGAAGTAGAAAATCGTTTCATTTCTCGACACTTGAGTTTGATAAACGTTGATAAACAAACATTTTTACAAAATAAAGTTCAAACAGTCTATGCGAACAGTTTATTTTTGAATTCTAGGAATACCAACAATGTTTCCAGTAAAAAACAATTACAAATTGTATTTCATTTTGTTAGCTACTAATCTATACTAAAAACAAAAACATAACTGTAACTAAATTACAACATTTATCTATAAAACAGAGTCAGAACCTTCGTTTGCAGGGGTGCAAGTGCTGTTGTCATCGTTTGTAGGTTCAATGTCCAAGTAAAGATCTAACAAAATCAATTTTGTGAATAAAATAGCCCTAGCAATTCGATATTAAAATTTCCAAATGGACTTACGCAAGCTATCTGGCAAACAATCATCATCTTCCGACTCGACAGAATTTGTGCTGTGTTTCTCAAAGTTATCTGCTTCAACATCGTCGACTTCTAAACCAAAAGCGCAATAAATTTATGTGAGTTCTGTCTAGTTGTGTCTGATTTACCTTGTGACGCATCCTCAGCTTCGAGTGGTTTCTCAGTTTTATCAGCCAGCTTCTTTTCATGGGTTGCACTGTTCTCTTTGATTAATTGTGAATTGTTAATATGAGAACCATCTTCAGTGTCTCTAGACGAAGTTACATGAAGAGAATTCTGAGCTGCTCTCAACTCAGCAAGCGTAACAATTGTGTCTTCGCTGATGGATTCTACCTTTAAGTCAGCTACCTCGATATCACTGTCTAAAGTAGCAAATCGTCTCATTTCTTTGGTCTCGATACATTTCACTTGATTGAAGTCGGTGAATATATCTGTTTGATCACTACATAATGACGAATTGTCTTCTTCTTGTTTGATTACCAGATCAGCAAGCGTAATTTCCAAACTTAAAACGTCTTCACTTTCTTTCGCATCTATTGGCGACTGCTTGAGCACATTGTTCTGGCTCACCTTAACGGATGAGCATAATGCATCGAACAGATCAACTGGCTCAAATGGACCAGAAGCATCAGTCTTTGCTTGATTAATTGCATCAATTTTCGGCCTTTTTACACTTAGTGAGTCCAGTTCATTAGATTTGATTTCCGAATTACTTTCTTCAGGTGTTGTTCTCTTCAAAGTTTTTGACGAATTTTCCTCATTAGTAATTAACTCTGATAACGCCTTTTTCAACAAATAGTTCTTCAGGGGGCTATCAGGCGTCTCTAATTCGTCCGTAAATAACTCTTGTATTTCGTCATTGTTTTGGGAACTTAACTCAACATCACCTTCTGTTGATAATTTGGCTTCATCACCGTCCTGTTGCGCTGTATGGATTAATTCATCGAGATTTGCTTTCAAAATTCTAACTATCAGTTGTTTAGTTTTCGGATTTTGCTGGCGCGCTTTCAAAACGCGTTTGGGTTTACTTGTTTTGACCTACAAAAAGTTTCTATTTTTATTAATTTAGACCCCGGAAATGCACGGAATTTACCTGTTTATTGAGACTCTTCTTTGGTTTTTTGTTTTTGACTGTTTTTGCTCTCTTCTGATTCTTCCGAGGCTTCTCAACTTGAGTTGACACTTTAACTGATGTTAAAGCACTCTTTAAGCTGACGAACGCAATCTGGTCCAACAGACGTGTATCATTTTTGTACTCGTCAACATTAAATTCAGAATATTTCAGGGGCTTCAAATGATTCAAACCCAGTCCAGTTTTTGTCGGTTTTGATCTTGTCTTTGACTTCAAATCGACGTTCGGCCCATTGTGCAGCTTACATTGATTATCAGGCCCCTCTTTACCACGGGGTAACTTATTTCGGGTTATCTGGCGTTTTGTTGTTCGGCAACGGGAATTTTGTAGTTTCGACTGGAACATTAAATGCAATTTTTAAGCATTTGCGAATGTACTGCCAACTGGCGTTTGGGATTCATTCATTGAAGAATAATGAGTTTAATATGTTAAAAACATATTATAGATAGAGAAAGACAATTTGAAAATTTGGGAGTGCACGTTCGCATTTTAAAGAACTGCCCTTGCTCTCAACATGATTCTTCTATTAGAATTGAAGAAAATTGAAACACGCCTATCTATCTATTTTTTTTATTTTGATAATAATTGTATATACTTTCCTGACTGTGTTTCAATTCCAAATCAAAATTAATTCCTGGGTTTCAGTCATTTATTGTCTTTATTTATCAATTAAAATACGTGTCGGTGTATTTTTCCACCATCATCAGTTTTTCTAAAATAACATATTTAAAAAAAAATTTCATGAATTTAAAAAACAATCACAGTTCGTCAACAGCCTCATCATATCACACAGTAAAATACATCACAATTGCAACACTTTAAAACATAAAGAATGAGAAACTTTAGAATGTTTTTAAAGTGTTGCAATTGTGATGTATTTATATGTGTAAATATGATGAGGCTTTTGACGAACTGTGATTGTTTTTAAATTAATGAAATTTTTTTTTAACTGTGTCATTTTAGAAAAACTGATGATGGTGGAAAAATACACCGAAACGTATTTTAATTGTTAAATAAAGACAATAAATGACTGAAACCCAGGAATTAATTTTGATTTGATAATAATATCAATAATTTTTTTATTGAAGAAAGATATGGACCAAATCCGTTTTTCTGCCCTTGCATTCACATGTGTCTGGTATTTTAAAATGAGCACTGAAATGTTGGAGGTTTACAATCAAAGACAGTTTTAACGAATCAAGTATTCTAATAGTGAGTTGAATGGTGCTGATTTTGGGTCTCAAAGGAAAATGATTACTGACAAAACACCAACGGTTTTAGTTGTGTTGTTCTTTCTCCAAGTCCATTAAGGATTGTTAGAAAGCTTAGCAACAATTTCCGGTGGAATGTCAAAAGTCCCGCTAATTATGTGGGATCTGTGGGCCATACTTACAACTCTCTTGAGAAAATGCTCTTTAATCACGTTGAGCCGCTCTAGGTGAGCTATGCAGGGTAAACAAACTGCACATTTCTTCTTCCGCTTGGCATTAATGTTCTCCAACAGAACATCGAAATGCGACCATTCCGTTATGTTGACTAAATGCTCAACATTCCGGCAAATACTGCAACGGTGGTTTAATGTGGAGAACGTTCCAAGGCTTTCTTCATATTGTACCACTTGAAGCATATGGGCAAGACAAAAACAGCACACTTGGAGCTCCGATGATATTTCCTTAATCTGCAACAGCAATGAGAAGAGTGTTTGAGAGGTTTACCGGCAATCAGCAGCAATGTTTACCATGGGAACACCTATGTAACTCTTCAATGTTTCCGGCAAAAAGGCGGCGATCTTGGTATGGTCAAAAGGCACTATTACTGGGCCGCTTACCGCACATAACCCGCACGTCCCAGGCGTTAATTTCATTGTGGAAATTGGAATTAGCCAGTTTTAAACAGCATAAAAGTTTAACGCACAGAACATACCCCCTGATTCTGTGATTTAGCGTCATTTACACATAATACTCACAATATAACCAAGATTATCAAAAGCCCTAGAAACACACCACAGAACAGGGGGGATATTTTGTGGAAAACACAGAACATACCCCTTAGAACTGAAACTGCAATTATAGGTTATGGAGATAAATTCGGCTCTCGACCTATTGGTATGAGCACAGAAACTATGGGAATGTGAGGAATTACTCCGATATTTGACTGCATTGACTTGCATTCACCAAATATATCGGGTCAATAAAAAAATCCTGTTATGTAATATTTTATTCAATACGTAGTCAATAAATCAGTTACAACCATGTTTTG